AAAAGCCACCGAGACAATGGTGTTTAACTCTTCGGGCATGAATGGAACTTGCGAAACTGTTACGGCCCCTGACAGAGCGACCGCTCAGGTAACCGAGCCGTCGACTTCCGTCCAACTCCCAAACCTCACTTCTATGGTTAAAAGTAGCGAACCAGAGTTGACTCAGCTGATGGTTGGAAAGAAAGTGCTGTCGACTCTTTCTATGCATTTTCCTCTCGCTGAGAAGCTGCTCGACGATAGATTCACAGAGTTGCAGAACCGCTCTAACGATTGCAAAGCTCCATCTGCATTTGACTACTTTCTCAGCCAAAGAGTTGTGCATCTGCAGGAGAAGGTTGTTGCACCGGTTCGTGAGTATCCGCAGATCAACTTTGCTGGCCGTCTTTTTGGACCTCGGGGTCGACGGCTTCGTGCGCTGGAGAGCGATTTGGATTGCAGAATAACGGTTTTGCGCGGCGGAGGTGCTGCAGGCCAGGCAAACCGAGGGACGAACGCAGGCCATCAGTCAAATGCTACGAAAGCTCCTGCAGAAGATTTAGCCGTACTGATAGAAGTCGTGGATGCTGCCTGCGAAGCCAACGCAAAGCTTCAACGAGCCGTCACCAGGATTAATGAAATATTCAAGGCTGTGCCTTCCCGATACCGCCAGCTGAAAAGCAAGCAGCCGGTGTCTGTCGTGGTGAACGCGGTTTCAAATGATAAAAAATCTGTCATTGTAGATTCTGAGGGTTTTCAGCTGGTTCAGTGTCGCCGTCGTCGTAAGTGAGCTCAGTGTCATTTTATTGCACGATGTTTCTTTGCTAAGCAGATAAAAAATTTGTGCTGTTTAGGAATGTGATCCTTATTTTATGTTTTAAGTATTGTCAAAGGGGTTTGTTTCTTTGTTTGTTTGTTCATATAAATAGGTACCAAATAAAAAGTACTATTAAATTTTCTTTTCATTTCAACAGCGGTTACGCGTCGTTGCAACCGGTGGACGCAGTCAGTAATTGAGCAAGAATATTTCACTTGCGATTGGTTTCACCAAGTGCGCATGTCATTGCGGGTTACCGTACATACTAGTTCAGTTACAGGAAGTCACCCTCTACGAGTGTCTTGATTTTATACAAAACTGAAGCGGATGGTTGCAGCAAAGGTTCGTCAACCTCTTTGAGTGACAAATGCCTTGGCGATGACTCCGCCAGAAATGGAACATGTTCGCAGCTTTCGCGACTCTACGAAGCCTCAGACTTGTAAAATCCGTGATGTGGTCGCCTGCAAGCTACGGATACAAATGTGAGGTGACGTCATCAAGGAAGCAGAAGCCAGATTGGCTTATAGCGAAAACTGAAAACTGCGTAAAACCGATTATTTATACACAGCGCAAACAAATTAATTGATCAGTGGGGTGACGTTTCGGCTCTTCTATCTCGAGCCTTCTTCAGGGTGGTGCGTGTTTATTTGTGCAGTAGGTTGTGTGGCCCGCAACTGCTGTGATATCAGAAGGCTCATGAGAGACGCGCTGAAACGTCGCTACCGTTCAGTCACCCGATTGACCAAATTATTTGTTTGCGTTTTGTTTAAATAAATCTTTTTTATGCATTTTTCAGTTTTCATTATAAACGCTGACGCATGAACAAATTACTCAAAATTTGCTGATTGCGTTTGGAACGGTATGTTGTCGTAGGATGATTGATTACTTGAAGACGTTAGCGCCATCGAACTTATGTAAAAGAGACGATACTTGATCCTCATCTACATTCTGCATGGGTAAACGCTGTATCATTTTGATGACAACTTGGAAATAGTGATAGTTGACTGGAGAAAATAATACTGTTTTGCTTGGTTGACGGTTTCACACCAAAAAGTCAATAAGACAATGCTGAACAAGAGATGAACAAATCTGAACATCGCGTGCCATGGGGTTTACTTCCCGTTGTGTACCAGAGGGAGACGACGAATGAATGAGGGTATAAGTCAAAAAGTCAGTCACGTTTGAGTCTACTAATAACGGTTACTTTTTGATACCATTGATTTCGATAAAATATAGATATTCTTCCTGCGTATTTGCACTGTACAATCGTAAATCTCTGATGCTTCCGGAGGCACTTAGTATTTTTCAGGAAGTCTTGTCTCCATTTTGCTATTGCATCCGGATGATAAACCACAGGAACTGAATTGGGCCGAACAGCGGAGGTAGGTTCTTGTAACTTTTTTCTTCTGAGACATTTAATCAAACCAAGAATGGAGTCCCTTACTGGGGAGAGAAGCGAGAGACTATGCGCTATAGTGTTCATTTAACTGTAAGCGGGCCTTCAGGAAATAATACACACTGCTGATAGCATCGTCAAGGACATCAGTACTCAACTATAAGCTACATCAAAGAAGAAACGGAAAATTTATGGATCGTTGCGATTGATCGATATTCCAACGGTGGCAAACGTTTTTCTATTGCTTTTTATGTCCAAATATATGGTATAGCAATCCAAATGAACGTGACTGCGTGGATGGCTTGCACAAGGATCGAAAATTTACCTGGTATATGAATACGTAGCAATTCAATATAACCATGGAACTAGTTTCAGCTGTAGTTTCTAGTCAAGTAGTAAAATCCATTTTTGTGCGTCAGATCAACAAGTTTGAATTTAACCTCTCACCTTTTACTCATCGTTTTTGACATTACCGACAAAATGGCCCAGGAGCCAAATCATTTGGCTGAAGAAGTCGAAGCTTCAGCCGAAACTTCGTCGTATTCTTATACAAGACTGTCATGCGTTCAAATACCAGGTGTTTTCTGCCTTTGTTTGTGGTAATACTATTGATGTACATACGTTCTATGCAACCGTTGCGTCTGTCAAGAACGGCTTGTGCCTACCTCTGTCAGATCAGTATTGCTGTACGGCATGGAGACAGTTGCTCCAAAGAATAAGCAAAAACGACGGTTGAACTGCGTACAGCAACGTTGGCTTTGATGCATGGTTCGGGTTAAACGGCAAGGTGAGGTAAAGAATGACTTGTCTTCCAAGCACATGTGACCGGTTATTGTTGAGATTAAGAAAACGTGATTGGCCCTGTTGGAGAAACCGATTCAGTATATACCATATACTTCAGCCCGCTAGCTTCTAACGGCTTGATGATCTCACCAAGTTTGCATTGAGCTCTTTTGCTAAGCAAAAGATAATAAGAGATAATAGTTTTAAATTCATGCATATAGTAATTGAAAGCTTCTAAACTTTGCCGTGTCGATATTTTAACGTTGGCCATCATCTTTTTCTAATGCAGTGATTTTTTCGAGAATGACGGCCGTGGACAGTGGAGCGAAAGCAAGCGAGTGGCTGAATGCAGTGCTCGACTCTTCCGGTCTTAGGTTGGTTTGTTGTTCTGACATCGATCCGGAGCACCAGAAGTACTAGAGAAAACATTTGAAGTACTGCCTGTTATTTGAATGGCCTTCTTTCGCAGCTTCGCAAGTCGTGCGCAGTACCTGTTGGTGAACAGCAGCACAATTCGCCATTTCATGAGCGTTCTCGCACTGGACGGCGTATGGTGCAGTGAATCAGAGCTGACCGTAAGATTCAGACCGAACCTGGTTATCAGCGGCGTTCCACCCTTTCAAGAAGAAACGTGGCAGCGGATAAAAATTGACCATGTCTTTTTTAGAGTTTGTTTTTTCTATCTTTGCAAACCATGGCCCGTTGTTGTTCATCCGTTATTTCTAGTGCGTAGGCACATGCTCTCGCTGTCGGGTGATATGCGTTGATCCCGAGACTGGCAACATGGACAATCGGCTGCTCACAGCCCTTAGAAAGGTGCACGACTACAAGCTCACGTTTGGAATCTATCTCGCGGCAGAAACATCCATAGATCAGCTTAAAATTTCTGTTGGTGATGCTGTTGAAGTAATCGATTACAAGCAGTTGAGACACTAATTTAACTGATACTAAAAATGCTGTTATGATCATCCTATTGACAAAGATTGACCTTCCCGAACAATTTGGATTACAGTTGCGACGTTATAGTTCTGCATTTTGATCTGTTTGTTTTGATCGTCACCCTGAGCCGTCTGCACGGGCGACACGTTCTTGTTGTTGGTCTGGTTCATGATATCTGAGTTGCCTTTTCCGATTTGGTATTTTTGTTCCTATTTTATTCTCTGTGATTTATCTGGAATGGATGTTATTCGTTCATTTTAATTGTATAAAAAATTGTTTTGGGTTCTTTCTATCGAGAAAATATTTTCACATAAAAAAATTACTGATACGGCATCGAAACGAACGACAAAAATGCAGTGCAAACATAGAAAAATGAATTTCTCTCTTTGCAACAGCAGCACTATTGCACCGGTTCCTTGCTTCACCCCTTATCTGTTAGCCGTTTCAATCCGGTTTCATAATTATTTTTAATATGATATATTCAGCGGCGGAATCAAAAGCTCCCACAGGGCATCGGGACAATATTCTATCACCTATATTTTTTATTCATGTGGACCCTAGCCTACGTTAGATTTGACTTCTGCAAACCTTGGCGTAGCATGAGTTTTACGTAACTCATATTTAACCCACTCCATCTCTTAATTACACCCTATTCCTTACTTGTATACAGTAGTACATTAACCTGTAATTTAAAGGTTTTTCATGTTGCTTTCATTGCTAGGATTTACAGACAAGTTAGAAATTAATATATGACTATGGATGGCAAGTTCTTCATCTTCCATCGCCCCTTCTTTCGGATCGCGGAGGCAGACCCGTCAGACAGTGTTTCCAACATTCCCGATCCTGTGCCAGAGTCTGAGCTTCGGCGAAAGACAAATGCAGTCTGGAACAGACTCCTTCCATAT